AGCCGCCCGAGCGCGGGCTTCCGCTCCCGGGAGCGAGGCCCGGGGCTCTCCGCGCCGGCGGCGTGCTCGGGGCTCCGGGAAGGAGCGCCTGGTAGAGCCTGACCTCTCAGCGCGCGGCGGAGCCGGCCCAGTAAGGCCTTTAGAGACGCCGCGCCTACAGGCTGCTGGGACCTCGTGGCGCAATGGTAGCGCGTCTGACTCCAGATCAGAAGGTTGCGTGTTCAAGTCACGTCGGGGTCAGGCTAGGTTTTTTTTTCTGCTGAGATCGCGCGCAGCAGCGTCAACACGGAAATAAGTCTTGTCCCTTCCAGGTCAGCCGTACCTCCTGTGCGAGGGAAAGTCCTAACCCTTTTTCCTTTCCTTGAGCGTTTAAACACCGAGAGCTAGAGAAACATATTTCTCCTGATGACCGACAGGAGGTGCTGCCGCAAGTCGCAGCGTGACTTCGTAGAAGGGTGCCGCCCCGCAGGCCACGCCCCCTTGCCCTCCGCCAATCCCCGGCCTCCCTGAGGTACAGCTCTGCCGGGGTTTGCCGGGGTGGGGGCTGCCCGCCCCACCGCGCGCTCGTCTTTGTGCGCGTGCCTCTCCCTGTGTGTCTTGAACACTCTTCTGTTTGCCCAGCTTTAAAGGACTCCACGTCTCGATGACGGTCTCTTTGGTATAGAAGGGAAAAAAGCAAGTTGCATAGAAATTTTAAACGCGAAGCCATACTATGTAAATACAGTGTGAGTAGCCTTTATCCACAATGCTTAGGACCAGAAGTGTTTCAGATTTCGCATTTTTAAAAATTCCGACACAATGAGATATGTAGGAGAGGAAACCTAAATTTAAACAAAATTCATTTTCTTCATGTGCACCTTATATACATACCCTGAAGGTAGGTTTATGCAGTCTTTCTGTGGTACCTGCATTTTGACTTCCCCTTCCCGTCATATTAGGCCTGGAACTTTTTCTGGTGTCGCGGGTGAAACTCAGGGCCTCATGCATGCTGAGCAAGCTCTCTACCGCTCGGCCACACTCCAGCCCAGGTGTGCAATTTTCCACGGTGGCAGGCATCATGTCAGTGCTTGAAAGTTGTGAGTTTTGGAGCATTTTGAATTATTTGGATTAGAGGTGCTTAACTGTAAATGCATATAGTACTTAATTTGGATCCATATTTAAAATATGGGTGAGAATTATACATACCAACTCTAGGATAATGATTACCTCTGGTAAATGAGGAGGAAAAAGAGATGGAGGCAGATTCTTAAAATTAGGCATACAGTGGTGCAGGCCTATAACCCAGCACTTAGGAGGCTGAAGCAGAAGGATCACAGTGAGTTTGAGGCCAGCCTGGACTATATAGTGAGACTGTGTTTAAAAAAAAGAAAAAAATATAAATTTTAACACTTAATAAACATTGTTAGAGGCTCTGTGAGGTCTAATATTATGAAAATGACCTTTCTGTCTCAGTTCACTCCACCGGCATGGTCCAAAGCCTTTAGGCCATGAAACTATAGTTTCCCAGGGTATTAGAACGCACAGTATCAGGGACAAGAAAGAAATACACCTTCATATCAGGCCTTCTAGTTTTTCCATATATAAAATCCCAACAGTTCACTTACAATAAATTTTAAGAGACAGTAAATTAAGAGAGAAGACCTTATTAGTAAGAAATAGCTAAAACAGTAGACAACAGTTTCGGATCCAAGGACTCCAGGTATGGAGATTATCAGATACAGAACACACAATGGATATGTTTAATTAAAAAAAAAATAGAAGAGGGGCCAAAAAACTGACCACAGAACAAAAAGCAATAAAAAGGATCAGGTATATTTAAAATAACTAAAAAAATTCTAGTAATAAAAAATTTAGTACTTAAAATTAGAAACAACATGTATATTAAACAGCAGGACATAGCTGGAAAAAAAAACCTAATGAAATGAAATATTGTAGTGGTTTAAAAGAGCTCCACAAATTCTTTGATATTTCCTTCCAAAGGTGCTGCTTAATTCTCGTCGCTCAGGCTATGTATTAAGGTACATGAGTATAGGCTGGACTTAATGACTGTATGTAACAAAAGGCAGGAATGATAATATGTGACTTTGAGAGCAGCTCATAAGATACTGTGGCTTCCTGCTTGCTGTTGTCTGCTTTCCAGCCTTGGGGAGAGTCAGCTGCCAACTGTGATACCACTTACGAAGTCCTATGGGGAAACTGCCCTGAGGAGGAACTGTGAGCTTCCAGATGACTGTAGCCAACAACTGAATATGTTCCCATGAGAGACGGTGAACCAGAACCAACCAGCTAAGCCACTCCCAAATTCCTGACCCTCACAAACTGTGAGAAAATACAGTATGTAGTGGTGTGCACCTGTAATTCCAGCACTTAAGCTGAGGCAGGAGGATCATTTGAGCCCAGGTGTTTGAGACCAGCCTGGACAACATAGCAAGACCCTGTCTCAAACAAGTAAACAAACACAACTGTGTGAGATAATAAATGCTTACTAAGTTAAGATTCTATATTGAGGGGAATAATCTGATATGCAGCAGTTGATAACTAATAGATCAAGTTTAAAACATATACAAAAAGATAAAGAGACAAAGGGATAGAAAAGATGAAAAAGTGTTGAGATAATGATGCAGAACAAAAAATTTACACTTCCATGAAATTCTCTAAGGGAGATAATGGAGACAATAGGGGAGAGGCAATATTCAAAGAGATGGCGGCTCCTGAGTTTTTAGAACTAAAACACGTCTTCACTCTGAGGAAGCACAATATATCCTGAGCATGGTAGGATATGATAAGAAAAAGTAATAATGATATACTTGGGAAGTTCTCTTTTAAGAATAAAGACACTTTCAAACAAATAAAATCCTGAGCATCTGTGTGGCTTGTATCTAGATGTCCCCCCAAAGCCTCATGCAGTCACAGGTGGGGAGTTTTGAGGGTGGCTGGGTTAGGATGTGTGACACTGGGATTAAGGATGTGATGCTGAGATTATGAGATTATGCCCTAGCCTGGGTGTGGGTGGCATCACCCACAAGGCTGATAGGCTGGATAGAATATAAAGGGACGGAAGGAAGCTGCTACTGTTGCTGCTACTTCGCTGTTTTGCTGCCTTCTGCCTGCCAAGAACTGTTTTTCCTATGCAGTGCCCCTCTGCCATGTCACCCTGCCCTGGAGCCAGCCAACTATGGACTGAAGCCTCCACAAACTGTGGGCTGAAATAGACCTTTCTTCTTATAATTTTGGTGTCGGGTATTTTGTCTTAGCATCAGAAAAGTAACTAAGATAGCATCCCCCTCTCCCAGGACTGTCAAACAGATAGTTTCATTCAGATCACTTTCTCTTACCAGATTATGATTAAACTAGAGACCAACAAGAAACACTCCTTACATTAGCCTTATTTGTTAAGATATTTTTAAAAAGACACATCTTAATTTATTTGTATTCCTGGGGTTCAAACCAAGGGCTTCCTGCATGCTAGGCAAATGCTGTACCACTGAGCTGCACCCAACCCCTTAATACTGCTCCTCCCCACAAAATAACCACTTGTAAGTTACTCCCTAGGTCAAAAACAATAATCAAATATTTGGACAGTTGTAGTAACACATTTTTCATTACTATAGCAAAATACTTGAGGATGGGACTTCGAATTTGCTCACAGTTTTGGAGGTGGAAAGTCCAAATAGCGTGGCAGCAGCTCTTGTAGGGGTGGGCTGGCTCCATCACATCCTGATGGGAATGAATATGAGGAAAAGATCATATGATGAAACAGGAAGTAAGAGAGACTGGGGAGGGGGAGTCTTGCTTTTGTACAGCAATATTGTCTTTTTTCTTTTTTTGAGACAAGTTCTCGCATGCAGTTCAGGTTGGCCTAGAACTCAGTGTATAGCCCAGGCTGGTCTCAGGGTAATTCTCCTGGCTCAGCCTCCTGAGTGCTGGGATCACAGGTGTATGGCACCACAGCCAGCAACAATATTGTCTTGAGTACTAACTAAAGTTCCACAAGAACTAAGTCAATCCCTTTCAAAGGCAGCAGCCCAATGACCTCCCGCTAGACCCCTACTCTTAAAGTTTCCACCACCTCTCGTATCACCACATTGGGAACCAGTATTCCAACACTGGAGCCCCTTGTGGGATACATTCAAACTGTGTCCGAACCACAGTTGTGTAGACATTGCAAAGAATGAGATAAACCACCATCTGCAGACCATGTGGTTACATAACTGGAAACCCTAAAAGAATCAACCGAAAAATTACTAAAAACAAAAAAGAAGAAACCAGTGAGGTAGTGAGGTACAAAATTGATGTACAGAAAACCAACCAACAACCAGTTAGGAGGACAAAGGTGAGCAGGTAGAAATGGAAAAAATACCTTTCATGTAACATTTTTATGCTGTTTTGATTTTTTTTTTGCCACAATATGAATATATCACCTAGTCAGAAACAGAACAAAACAAACAAAACCCCCCAAAACCCAACCCAGTTGTTGAAATTAGTATCTTATTCCTTGAGAATCTATAAAGACCTTCCAAGGGACAGTTGGACATGGATCTTTTTTGTTGCTTGTTCGCTTTTGAGACAGGATCTCACTGTGCAGCAGAGGCTAGTCTTGAACTCCTGGGCTCAACTGATCCTCTGCCTCAGCATCCCCAGTAGCTGATATCACAGGTGTGACCCACCCATGTGACTCCTTTGTGGAGCCATCAATGTCACCCCTGCCTGTTGGCTTCTGAGTTTGGCTGGTGTGGAGGAACAGCAAGAGGAAGGGGTGGAAGTACACGACGATCACCCAGGTGAGATGCAGAGGTCATTTGTGCCAAGCTTGCTCTAGCAAGAGAGTCCGCTTCTAGCACTTGGACTTGGCAAGACTTG